GATTTCGATTATCTTGGAAACGCCTAAAATAAAATACAAACCAATTATAGTCATTGTACAATACTTTAGTAAATAGTGTCTGTTACTTGCTAAAGCTGGCCATTGTTCTGTATCAAATGCAACCACTTTTACGCTCTAAAAACCGCATACAAATATCCGAGATCTGCAAAGAATTTTTATCGTCAAGGCTCAAATGAAATAAACGTATTCCATGCAACAGCATATGACCGTTAGTGTGTATGAGAAAGGCGACATAACCATCACTGGCAGCTGGTACATACACGCCGTTGGGCTTTTTGTCTCATAGTCGGACTTAAAAAAAATAAAATATATGCAAATTGGCACATTCTAAAGCATTCTGCGACAATTTTCACATCTCATAAATTTACACCAATGTAAATACCACAAATATCTATGTCACCAGCTCTATACATCTCCGTGGTAAGGAGAAGTAGCCGATGAGCACTTGCAGACGAAGCCAGTTTCAGGTAAATTTACAGGCTAATATGTGTGAACTAAGGGAGCTATATGCATGGGTTAGGGATAGTGTGGAGCGGACGCGTCAGTTATATAGCGGCTTACGAGTTACAATGCACTGCGATACAGTAGTAACGAAATAAGTGCTGCCTTACCCGATCTCTTTAAAGAAGGGTGAAATAATTTCATCGTGCAATAAACGCTCGTTGACCTTGATAAGCCGTTCTACGAGTGTCAGTATGAGGGAGAGTCACATCTACAATAAAATGCAAAATTATGGTACATTAAATTTAAGCCACCAAACGGATATAAGTCTACAACGTGACGTGGTTTCTCATAAAGTAGATGTAGTGTTTACATTGTATGCAGTTTCTGCACAGAGGTGTGCTTGTGTGTTGCAGGGTGGGTGGGGTGGTGGTGGATTGCGGGGGGGGGAGTACATCCAAGCCGTCCGCACACGACCGCGACTTTACAAAGCGATGAAGCGATGAAAGCCGGATGACGATGACGCGATGAACGGATTCAATAAAACTAGAGAGAGGAATAGAAAGAAAGAGAAGGGGAGAGAGAGAGAGGAAAGAGAGACGAGAGAGAGAGAGAGAGAGAGAGAGAGAGAGAGAAGAGAGAGGTGGGAGAGAACACTTGCAATAATCGAAATATGTAATAAAATAGCAATTATAATATATAAATAAATAATTAGGGAATAATTAGAATATTAGTGCATGACTGATAAATGCGCTGGCAATCTCATTGATAACGCAGCAGGCCTATAAGGGATAGTGCCGCATGAGGGGCACTAATTGCTTGCGCGACGCATTGTTTATTAAGTTATGCATTGTGTATGTAGAATGCTCCTGCGTCTGTGCGCCACGCAGAGTAATTTGAACGCGTTTGTGTTTGTGTCCGAAGCGTTTTGTACATCGACTGCACCGGCAAATTAGGGCGTATAAAGAAGGTATAAGCAGAAAAAGTAGATTTGGCATATTATTATGGTGCGATGCACAAAATATTAATCCTGCTTGTATGGGGCACTATGGCTGTCGACAGTGTTTGCCGTTGGGAAAAAATAGTGCCTCGCTCAGGCGCTGCGGGCAGCTAATTCCATTCCTGCACAACACTATGAAGCTAGTCCGGCCAACACAGGGCATTAATATTATTAATAATAATATTAATTAATAATTATATTATTAATTGAATAATTTATTATTAATATAATAATTTATTATTAATTAATAATTTATTATTATTTTTAATTCATAAATAGGGAAGGCAACGGGCGCGTTCAAATTGCTCAACAAACTTTGGAAGACAAGCGCTATCACCCTCATAACTAAATCATAAAAACTTCAACCTCTAATGTTCAGCGACGGTCTCGATATATTATGGTGTAAAAGATGGATAAAAACAGTCCAATATATTCAAAGCAGGAAAACTAAAAGTCTCGTTAACGAATGTGAAGAAGATCTCATAATATTTGGCCACGCACGGGTCAATCAAAATAAAAGAATCTGGAAAGGACGAGTTGAAAAGAAGAGACCACAGTCGAAACCAAATCAAGAGAGAAGCGAAATGGCCTCGGTGGGCAATCACTCGCGAGGACGCGACGATATAAATATATAAATGCAGGTCGTGAGCTGAACCCGCAGAAACTGGGGTATAGACAACGCTAAGCAAGCTGGAGGCCAGACCCGACGCGAAAATCAAAAGAAGGGCGACACTGGAGAAATGGACGGAAGACGACGCAACGAAAAAGGCGAATGGAGAGTTAGGCCTCCTAGTAATAAGTCCTGACAATGACGACGAACTCGCCCGTCTGTGACTGCCAAGATAAATTGTGTTCCGCCGATAAGTTATACTTAAACTAAAAGCGTGGGCATGGCGCGGACGGCACAGTGGCATGATACCAATTCTGATTATAATATTACTTGTGGCTCGCAGCATCTCGCCCGGGTTTCTCGCGCTAAGGCCTCTATTAATGTACATAAAGACATGGCGCAGGACGTTGGGTCGCTGTTTGACTGCGCAGGTAATTGTGTGTTTCGGTCCGATTCTTTACGTTCAAACTAGAGCTGGCGGCGCCGGACGGCGCTATATATATGCATGATAAAATCTAATTTATAATATTCAATTGCTCCGCAGCACTATCGCCGTTTTCGCGCGGATTCCCCGCTATGCTCTATTCAATGTACAAAAAATGGCTGCAGGGATGTCGGTCGGTCGTCTGACTGCCAAGAGAACTTTCCTCGGCTCCGATTCTCATACGTTAAACTAGAATACTATACCGGCTGGGCGGCGCAATGTGCATGATAAAATCGATTATTAATTCACTGCGCAGCATCTGCGCCAGATATACGCCAGCTATGCTAATGTAATGAAAAATGGTGCATCGAACGTTCGGTCGCCGTGGACTGCCATAAGATAATTTTCTTCGCCCGATACTATAACGATTTTAAACTAGAGTTGGGGCAGCCCACGCACGTGGCGCAGTGGAAATAATTGAATTTACAATAATTAAACTTTGCTCCCCAGCATCGCGTCATAATTCGCAGCTATGCAATGTCATGTAAAAATGGCGCACGGACGTCGTCGCGTGTACCAAAGCTTCATTTCTTCCGCCCGTATACTTTACGTTTAAAACTAGAGCTGGGTCGAGCCGACTGGCTGTAATTGCATGAATAAATATGATTTATAATATCACTGTGCTCGCAGTCATCTGCGCCGGGGTTTCCACTAAGCTCCTATTAATTGTACAAAAGAATGCTGGGGAATCGCTTGGTCGCTTGTTTACTGGCAAGATAATTGTGTTCGACCGTATCTTATACGTTCAGAACTATGAGCTGGAGCGGCCGGACGGCGCATTATATATTCATTATAAAATTATGATTTATCAATATTCACAATTGCTCGCAGCACGTACGCTTCGATTCGCCGCTATGCTCTATTAATGACAAAACAAATGGCGGCAGGATGTGGTCGCCGTTGACTGCCAACAGAACTTTCCTTCGCGATTCTCATATCGTTTAAACTAGAGCCAACTGGCTGGCGGCGCATGTGCAGATAAAACTGAATATTTATTCAACCTCACTCGCATAGCATTCCGTGCGCAGGATTTTCCCAGGCTATCTAATGTGAAGAAAAATGCTAAGCCGACGTCGTGTCGCCCGTTGACCTGCAGATAGTTTTCTTCGCCCCGATCCTTATACGTTAGAACTAGAGCTGGGCGAGCCCACGGCATCGTGCACCGTGGTACAATTGCAATCCTACCACATATTAACTTTGCTGCGCAGACATCCGCGCTCATAATTTCCCAGAGCTATTGCTGAATGTTCAATGTAAAATGGACATGCACCGACGTCGGTCGCACGTTGACGTACCCAGATAATTTCTTCGGCGCCCGATCTTATACGTTTAAGACTAGAGCTGGCGAGCGACGGCGCATTTGCATGATAGAAATCGATTTATAATATTCCTGTGGCTCACAGCATCACGCCTCCGGGGTTCCCTGCAGCGCTCTAATATGACAAAAGAATGGCCTATGACGTTGTCGCTGTTGACTGGCCAAAAGTAATTGTGTTTCGGCGTCTGATTACCGTTCAACTAGAGCTGGGCGGGCTGACGGCGCGCGTGCATGATAAAATTTTATTTATAATATTCACTTTGCTCGGAGTATCGCGCTACGATTCCCACCCCCTTCCGCCCAATCAGTTCCATGAATGGGCACGAACGTCGGTCGCCGTTGATGCGCAACGAATATATATTACTTTCGCCCGCCAATAATCGATACGTCATACTAGAGGGCTGCGCAGGTCGACTGGCAATGTCACATTGGTACAATCCAATCTACAATATTAAATTGCTCGAGCATCCGCCAGCGATTCCCACATAGTGCGAATGTACATGAAAATGATGCACGGCTAAGCGTCTTGATAATAGTTATATACCAAAAATCCTGTTATGTGTTCATGCGTGATTTTATTAGAGTGGATATTCGAGTTATTGGGCTCATAACAACAGTTTCATACGTCTGCATACGAAATAATGTTTCGATTCATATCGCTCTTGTGATTTTCGTCAAGTTTTCTTTACGGGTGCCCATATTTAGAGAGTAACGAGTGTATTGTGCACAGCAACAGATCTGACAAATACCTACACATTAAAGCACCATAGTACCATGTCAAAACATTTATTACATACGTTGTAACCCTTACGAATCGGTCAACGTGACCTTAGAGACAATTCAAGTGTAAGTTACGGAGAGTAGTATCTATACTGCGACGAACACATCGTAAATTTTTGATATAATGATTCCATTATTATATTCAGGCGATCATCACGACGTTCTCTGAATCCGTACCACGAGATCAGTCCGGCGCCACTCCACGCTCACTGCGGTAACATCCACTAACACACATAATACCATGTTCTGTATTAAATAAATATATATATTATATATATATATTGACAATATTATGTTATTTATACGAGTGTAGTAATATATATATAGTTATTATAATACATTAGTTTAACGTTCTGTAGTGTGAGCGTGGTGAGGGCGGACTTCATCTCGCCGCCAATGCTTTTGAATGTGCGATATAAACACTAGCTATTTTCTGCCATTCGCTGATTCTTTATTGTCCTCCAACGTAATTATTACAGTAACACAAATAATCAACGTAAATATGTATATAATACAAATTAATTCCCACAAATCCGAAAATGAAAACAAATTGCATTCTCACGACGCCGGTTTTTTTTGCAGCTCAGCTCACTCGCGCTCATTTCCACACAGTCACCCCAGCTTAGAGTCAATAGAACGTCTCCTCGGTAAAATTCAGTTAGAGTCTTTCCACTTCCACTCGTGTTGGAAGATCATAACTGTCATCGACTTTGGTGCTGATGCCGCCTCTGCCTCTGGCGTTGTCTGGCTCGACACAGGCGACATTGTTATAGATATTAAGTTGACGTTGAAGATCACCGCGTCTACTTTATTCCGTCATCTTCTTCTTCCTCGCTCTTATAGCAGCAGGCGAAGTACGCTACTAGCTGTAAATATGTTAGGTGTCTTGGTTTACAACATTTGGGTACACCTGGTGCGAATAGTAGCGGAATGCACTACGCTATGATATTTTTAGTATAGAGTAGTATAGTATAATATAGGTACTAGTATATGTATTAGTATAGTATAGGTTATAGTAAGTATACGTATGTGTTATGGTAGTGGTATGGTATGGTATGTATCGTTGGTATGGTATGGTATGGTATGGTGGTATGGTATGTATGGTATGGTATGGTTATGGTATGAGTATGGTATGTGTATGGTATGGTATCGGTATGGGTATGGTATTATGGTATGGTATGGTATGGTATGTATGGTATGGTAATGAGTATGGTATGGTATGGGTTTATGGTAGGTATGGTTGGTATGGTGATGGTAGTGGTAAGGTATGCGAGGTAATGGTATGGTTAATGTATCTGTATGGTATGTAGTGTAATGGTAGGTAGGTAATGGTAATGGTATGGTAGGTATGGTAATATTGGTTGGGCATTGACATGCAATGGCATGGCATGCAGGTGGTGCCGTATATCGGGTTATACGGTAATAATATGAGTATAGTTATATTATAGTATAAGATAGGTGATGGGTATGTGTGTGGTGGTGTGTGTGTGTGTGGTGTGTGTGGTGTGGTGTTTTGGTGGTGTGGTTTTGGTGTGGTGTGGTTTGTTGGTATTGTGTGGTGTTAGTGGTGTGTGGGTGTGGTGTGGTTGTGGTTGGTGTGGTGTGGTGTGGTGGTTGTGGTGTGGTGGGGTGTTGGTTGTGGGTGTGGTGTGGTGTGGTGTGGTTGGTGGGTGTGGTGGTGTGGTGTGGTGTGGTGTGGTGTGGTGTGGGTGGTGTGGTGTGGTGGGTGTGGTGTGGTGTGGTGTGGTGTGGTGGGTGTGGTGTGGTGGTGTGGTGGGTTGGTGTGTTGTGTGTGTGGGTGGTTGGTGTGGTGTGGTGTGGGTTGTGGTGGTGGTGTGGTGATGGTAGTGGTGGGTGTGGTGTGTGTGTGGTGTGGGGTGTGGTGTGGGTGTGGTGTGGTGTGGTGTGGTGTATTGTGTGGGTGTGGTGTGTGTGGTGTGGTGTGGTGTGCGTGGGTTGGTTGCGTGTGGTGTGTGTGGTGTGAGTGGTTCTACGGAGCGGTAAGGTAACGGTCGGTACGGTACGGCACGGCAGTCGAACGAGTACGGACGGTAGTCGTACGTTAAGGTAAGTACGTAATAGTTATAGTATAGGTAAAGTATAGTATAGTATAGATAGTAATCGTATAGTTATATTATGGTATGGTATTGGTATGGTAATGGTAGGTAATAGATAAAATATAGTATAGCTATAGTATAGTATAGTATAGTAAGATAGTATGTATGGTATGCGTATGGTATGTATGGGTATTATATATGGATGGTAGGTAATGGTATGCTATGTAGGTATGGTATTGGTATGGTATACTGTAGTGTGAGTGTAGTGTAGTGTAGTGTAGTGTAGTATAATAGAGTAAGAATAGTATGGTAAATTATGTATGGTATGGTATGGTATAGTAAGCATAATAGTAATAGTATAGTCCATAGTATAGCATAGCTATTGGCCATAGCTAGATAGATAGCATAGCATACGCATGGCATGCATGGATGGCATGGCATGGATGGCATGGTACGGTACGGTGACGGTAGCGGTAGGTACGTACGGTCGGATAGCGTAACGGTGCGGTGCGTGGCAGTGTAGTGTCAGTGAGTGTAGGTAATGTAGTGTTAGGGTAGTAAGTATAAGTATATAGTATAGGTACCGTACAGTACGTACAGTTATACAAAAAAAATGAAATACATGTTATATGTATAGTCTAGTAAGTATAGTATATGTATAAGTATAGTTATAGTATAGTAATAGTATAGTATAGTTATAGTATATGTCCTAGTATATCTGTATTAGGTATAGTATACACGTTCGTATAGTATGTATATATACGTAAGGTATAGTTCGTATAGTCTAGTATAGTATAGTATACGTATACGTTAGTAATTATAGTCTAGTATAGTATAGTAAAGTATAAGTATATGTATAGTATAGTATTAGTATATTGTATTAGTTATAGTATATGTAAGTATACGGTATAGTATTATGTATACGTATAATAGTATAGTATAGTAGTAGTATAGTATAGTATTATCGTATAGTATATTAAGTATAGTATTAGGCATAGCATTGCATAACAAGCAATAGCATAGGCAATAGCATAGCATAGCATAGCAAGCATAGCATAGCATGCAAGCATACATGCATAGCATAGCATAGCATTACATATAGTATAGTATAGTTATTCAATATCAGTATAGTATAGTACAGTATATATACGTTAGTATATTTAGTATGTAATAGTATAGGTATAGTATATGTAAGTATAGTATAGTATTATATAGTATAGTAATAGTATAGTATTAGTATATTTATAAGTATAGAATATTATACGTATAGTATATATAGTAATAGTATGGTATAATGTATAGTTAGGTATGTCTATATAGTCTTAGTATATATGTATTAGTAAGTATGAGTTAGTATGAGTAACGTATAGTATAGTAATAGTATAGTTATAGTATAGTATGTATATTTTTTATAGTTTTTTTAACATTGTATGTATAGTATAGTATAGTAAGTATAGTATAGTAATGAGTATACATATAGTATAAGTATAGTAAAGGTATAGTATGTATAGTTAGTATAAGTATAGTATAGGGTTAGGTATAGTATAATATGTATAGTATACGTATAGTTAATAGTATAGTAATAAGTATAGTATAGTAAATAGTATACTTAAAGTATAGTTATAGAAGTATAGTGTCTGTAGTGTAGTGTAGTGTAGTGTAGTGTATGTAGTCGGAGTGTAGTTCTAGTGAGTGTAGTGTAGTGTTGGTAGTAGTGAGTGTAGTGTAGTTATATAGTGTGAGTGTAGTAGTGTAGTGAGTGTAGTAGTGTAGTGTATGTATTGTAGTGTAGTGTAGGTAGTGTCGTGTAGTGTAGTGTTGGAGTGTAAGCAAGTGTACGGCCTAGCGCAGAATAGCATAGCATAGTATAGCATAGTATAGATCGCATAGACTAGCTAGCATAGCAATAGCATGTATATTTACAAGTATGGACAGCAGACCCACCGCTGTCAATAGCTATAGAGAGAAGAGAGAGAGAGAGAGAGAGAGAGAGAGAGAGAGAGAGAGCTTGTGAAAAAGTGAACAGATCATCTAAAAGCACATAAATACTATAGTCATATAAATATATATATATATATATATATATATATATATATGTATATAATTAACCAGAATCAAGCCCAGTTCGGTTATAATAACCATCGGCCACGATTTTGACATGTCGGTCAGGGTAACGCACAACATGTGAGATCATTACTCGGTGGCCCAGCTCACCTGTATTAGGAGCAGACCACCAATCGTAGACCCGACCGCGACGATCAGCGTGATGGCGTCAACTTCGGGATCGGGGGTCATGACTGTCGTTGACATGTAAACACATTCTTGCGGGTCCGGAAATGCATCGCCTGTGATACGAGAAGATAGGTCACGAACGGTTGAATCGTTCCGCTGGGGTTACACTATGAACTTTCTGTTGAAATGTTGACGAGTTGGATCAATTTGTCAACCAATTGAACGAAAGTCGGCAGTGTAAACGTAAAAGTTTAGCGCCTAACTAGTTGAGAGTTAAGAACATGTTCTTTTTTCTCAACTTTTGGTTAGCGAGTTGTCAACTTTTTGCCATGCAGTCACTCTGATAATAGCAATCAGGTGTGTCCCTCCACCCAGGGGGTGATTATTTCCGCGCGCGTTTTTACCATAAGCCATATCGGAAAGTCCCAGCCGCCATAATGAGATCAGATAAGAGGGGTGATAATTACCACCCCTCTTATCTGATCTCAATATGGCGGCAGGGACTTTCCGATATGGCTTATGGTAAAAACGCGGTTAAGTTGCCAATATATAACATAGCTGATATAGCTACGATAGTACTAGTCTAGGTTTTTGATCTACAATTCTCTTCACTAACAACGTACTTTAATTCACAGGTGCGTTTCTGTTTACAGAAACATTTACAAATATGATTGTGGTCATTTGGGATATATTTTGCAATGTTTGTGTTAATGCAAAAACTAAAAACGCACGAGTGTTTGCATTAATCACGTACTTTCCGTAGCGCGCCGCGGCCATTTTATCCCCCTTTTTCTATGACCTAACTAACACAGCTGGACTTCCGATATCACTTATTGGCGCCATACGGGCTACACTTGGAGCGAAGTAATAGATGAAAAAATGCGTATCCATATTGCCCCGCGCGCGCACTGCGGGTGAAATGTTGAAACGTTTGCCGAACCGCGGTCGATAATGTAAATGCTTTGAACATCTGATGGAAAGGTTGCTAGAACGTTGAAAGGTTATGCAACTCGTCGACTTTTCGATAGTGTAAACCCAGCTTTACGCGCATAGCTTGAACCTAGATAATCAGCGAGGCATATCTTTCTTTCAAGGAAACGCGGCGAGAACAGCTTTTTTAGTAAAACGTTTGTAAGATTGCAGAGTTGTATATATATTGTACGTGCGTGCGTATATCCGTGCGCGCGCGTGTATGTTTGTTTTGTTTGTTATGCGCGCGTGTGTGTACACGCGCGCTCGCATGCGCGTTGGTCACGTGCGCTTATTTATCTGTTTTATTTTTTGTATCCATCCATGATCATTATGCACTCAGTATTGCTTTCTCTTCGTGAGATCATTACTCTAGTTCCTCTATAGATCTTTACATTCCTATCGGCGAAACCTTCATTCATTACCTGCGTTTGTGTTTGCGGTAACGCAGACGGTGTATATCGTTTCCTTGATAAGCCCAGTGATGAGATAGGATCTCGCTCCTGGGTCGGAAACCAAAGCACTTGCTTTGTTGTCATTCGGGTACTCGTACCACTCAAGTACGTACCTATAGGTGAACAGAGATCTGAGTGAAGCGTTGGCATCACTGTTCATTTATTTTCATGTAATGATACGCAATAATTTGAAACACTTTCGGGTTTTAACTCATTTCAAAGTTTTCTGCTTCTATATACGTTGCTGTCCTTAGGTAAGGAGTTAAAAGAAAACTGGAATTGTTGTAAGACAAATTTGAAACAAAGTACTATATAAGAACTAAACAGTTAACACTATAACAAACATGCATACCGTAGGAGAAGGAACTACATCACGCACTCGGCTGAGTAGGTATACTGAAATCTAAGTACTAAACAAATGATTGGAGTTAACAGTATACAAGAGATGAGGATATATTATATACGCACTCGTCTATGTACGTGTCGTCGTTGACAGTCCATGTGACGTTGATCGTATCCTGTGTCGCACTGAAGCTCGCGAATACAATGTTGACATTCTTACACTGCAGCTTCGTAGCATCGATCGCGCTGAGTGGTGTGCCGTCGCACTGAGCATCGTCGCTGACAAATTCGGCATCAACGAGCCAGCGAATGTCGCAGGTACACTCCAACGGGTTGTCTGCGAACCGTTATATAGACGTTAGTGGGCACATAGAGGGATAACGAGAACGGGAGTGAGCGAGGTAGGGAGGGACAGCGAGAGAAAGTGTGAGCGAGAAGGAGAGTATGCCTGCGAGAGAGTGTGTGCGCGCACTTGCGTGCCTGTGGGCGCGGGTTGGTAAGTGGCTGGATTTTGCGTGCGGGCGCGCGTGCATATGTGCGTGCGCGCTCGCGTGCGACGGAGCGCACAGCAATTATTGATGTGAGGAATTAAAATCGACTTTTTAACTTTTACATTTTATGTATAGATTTCTTTTAACATAACCTGATGATGTGAATGCATGCATCTTCTCTATGCTGCAGTATGCATGGCAATTTGTATTTACTCGACGTCTTATAGTGATTATTAACGTTAGGCATTGGAACAATTAGTCACCGTTAAGATTGAGAATTGCTGGCTTTTTATCCAAGATGAACGAGCTCTCTTTGAGAGTAATTATGACGTTGTGGTCAAGGTCAAGGCGTTTGTGGCTGCCAAATGCATTCACTCCAACCTCACTGAAAACAAGCGGTATAATAGCATCATGAGTGAGTAACAATATTTATTTAGTGTTTCTATTTTTTGTTCAATCCTATTGGTATGATAAGTACTCTAGTAAGTACGACGGTGATAACTAAATACCAAGAACTCTACTAAGAATAGAAAGTGGATAAAAATTAGCAATAAAATTAATATAATTAAAGTCCTTTTTACAAAAGATGCTTTGGCATTATAAAGCTTCCAATCAATTGTAGAATCATTCAGTATTTAAAGATTCCGTCATTAGTCGATGCCATGTACACAGTAGAATAGTTAATACAGGCTATGATGGCTAAAGAATACATTGACAACTAATTGCATCTATAATGTCTCTATAGCTACGTTCACACGACAAAAATAGTCACCCGGGTAGCTAGTTAGATGCATACCGAGTTAGCATATAACTTGGCTGCGGTCACATGAGTGAATCACAGGTTAGCGTTGTTTAGCTTACGGTCAAGCGGATAAAACTTCTATTGTCAGAAACAAAAATAACTTAGTCTTAAAAATAGTCTTAACATTAGTCATAATATTGAGTTTTTTCTCATAGACTGTTGATATAAATATGTTAAATTTACGAGTTCTCCATACGCAGTGTAAAGAGCTACGCTATACGAGGAAAGTTAAGATTCATGTTAAGACTAATTTTGTTTCCGACAACAGGCTCCTGGGTAACTGTCTGCCATTTGAACACGACTTGTAAGCTGTCGTATTTGCATGGTTCACCTGATATCGTTGTCGGTCAGTATTACCATGCTCGCCTTCGGTTTATCGAGAAACATTTCCTTGGGTACACTTGACAGTTTGTTTAGCGAGAGGTCCACGCTGTCTAACACACTCAGACTCTTTATCGCCTCCCACGCAGAGTCCGTGAGGGCGTTGCTCTGCCGTGAACAAACCAGTATTACCAACATGGCGACACGAATCAACATGTACAATTAATAGATGGCGAATATTTTATCGTTTTGAAATTTTCGATGTACTATTACTATATCCTCTCTTGACTATTGTAATTCGCATTTGCTGTGTCGATGATGTTAACCGTAGACTTTGTTAACGTTTATTTTGACTTTGTTTCAGAATACTTGGTTTTCACACATATGTATATTGAAAAGCAAGCTGGTACTGCTGTGCGGGATAAAAAAATGAATCTGATACTTTCATTTGGGGTTTAAACTAAATTAAAAATGTTCAACTCTAATGTTCAGACCGTCCTCATATAATTATGGCTGTAAAAGATGGATAATAACAGTCAAAATAATTCAGAAAATTAAAAGTCTCGTTAACTAATGCGTGAAGAAGATCCTCATAATATTTTGGCCACGCACCATCACAAATAAAGAACTCTGGGAAAGGACGAAGCAGACCCCAGTCGAAATCCAAATCAGAAGAAAGAAATGGGCCTGGGTGGGCCACACACTGCGGAAGGAAGCGACCGATATAATATATAATATGCAGGGCGCTGAGCTGGAACCCGCAAGGAAGACGTCGGGTAGGAAAGCCTAAAGCAAGCTGGAGGCCAGACTCGACGGCGGAAATCAAGAAGAAGGGCGACACCTGGAGAGAAATGGAGCGGAAGACGACCAACCGAGCGACATGGAGAGAGTTCACAAATGACCTGTGTCTCACAGGACACTGAAGGGCTCCTATGCTAATGTGCATGAAAATGACGCACGAACCTCGCCCGCTGTTGACTGCCAAGATAATTGTGTTCGGCCGATATTATACGTTCAAACTAAAGCTGGGCTGGCCGACGGCACATGAGCATGATAAAATCTGATTTATAATATTTACTGTGCTCGCAGCATCTCGCCCGGGTTTCCCGCTAAGCCTCTATTAATGTACAAAAGAATGGCGCAGGGACGTTGGTCGCTGTTGACTGCCAAGATAATTGTGTTCGGCCGATCTTATACGTTCAAACTAGAGCTGGGCGGGCCGACGGCGCATATATATGCATGATAAAATCTGATTTATAATATTCACATTGCTCGCAGCACCACGCCTCGGATTCCCCGCTATGCCTCTATTAATGTACAAAAAAATGGCGCAGGGATGTCGGTCGTCGTTGACTGCCAAGAGAACTTTCCTCGGCCGATCTCATACGTTTAAACTAGAGCCAGACGGGCTGGCGGCGCATGTGCATGATAAAATCTGATATTATTAACTTCACTCGCAGCATCGCGCCAGGATTCCCAGCTATGCTAATGTACATGAAAAATGGTGCACGAACGTCGGTCGCCGTTGACTGCCAAGATAATTTTCTTCGCCCGATCTTATACGTTTAAACTAGAGCTGGGCGAGCCCACGGCACGTGCGCGTGGTAAAATTGAATCTACAATATTAACTTTGCTCCCAGCATCGCGTCATAATTCCCAGCTATGCAAATGTTCATTAAAAATGGCGCACGGACGTCGGTCGCCGTTGACTACCAAGATAATTTTCTTCGAGAGAAAGAGAGAGAGAGAGGGAAGGACAGGGACAGAGCCAGCGAGGGAGCGAGGAGGAGGAGGAGGAGGAAGAGGAAGAGGAGGAGGGCAGAGAGAGAGAGAGAGAGAGAGAGAGTGTGTGTGTGTGTGAGAGAGGAGGAGGACAGGGAGAGCGAGAGAAAGAGAGAGAGGCAGAGGAAGACAGAGGAAGACAAAGAGAGAGAGAGGGAGATGCGGTACGCGGTGTTCTCCGGAATGCGTCTATCGCACCCCCCCCCTCCCCCCACGCCGCGCCGCTGCCGGCGTGACGTCATCGGCGAAGGTATGCGCGTCGATTAGTGTGGGCGGGTTTACAGTTACGTCGCCTGCCTGATTGTTCAGTGCTCATTTATGTTTCTATTTATATTTCCCTTCACGTGCGCGCGTTCTACACGGCGTCACATATATATATATATGGAATTGATATATATAATAATTATATTATATATAAACAGTAGTGCACTGTATATTAAATGTCAATATAGAAGTCCTAATATACTCTTGATTTCAATGAAGGGCAAAATCGAAGATGAAGCGCACGATGGAGCAATGACAGGTATAGCGATATACCGGTAAGCAAGCTCATAAAGCAGCAGCAGCCTGGTGACGGAAACCGGCCACCTGATGCACCGGGCTGAAACACGTCTGGTTGTAGGGTACGTACGCCGTGCGAATGTTCTCACCCCTTCAGTAACTCTTGTACGGTTGTTAGGCTCGTCCCCTCACAGTACATATTGACGGCCGGGAGGGCGCCGTAGTCGTCATAGCACCGGCAGGGGGCGTCTTCGAGTTTAGGACACAGGCTCTGCCCGAGACATGTTTCGATCAGACTGGCGACCAATAGCAGCATCATAGTCAGCGTCGCCATGTTCGAACTCAACATCTATCGTCGTTTTACCAACTCTTCAGAAGAGAAAAACCGAAATATTGCGAGGCTAAACTTTTGCTGAGCTGCAAATTTAAGTGAACGTCAATATATTTCATTCAAACCAATGGCTAATGACTAATTATCATCAATACCTTTATAGATGGGTTCAGCGCTCACCATAGATATTTAAATTTAATTTAAATGAAATTAATTAAATGAAATTTCCATATTATATTATCTATATATATAAAGTTGTTCAGCCGAATTAGTCAGTACTCGCATAACTAGAGAACTCCGCAGCCTAGAGGAAAACTAAAGATATTTTCAGAATCAACACGTCTGGGAGGTGGTTCTGGCTGAAACAAAAATTTAAAAAAATTAAAATAGTTAAAAATTGAGAAAAATTCTATTCATCAATAGATGGCGGTGCGTACAGATTAACATCACGTACGTGTGAATCCATGGTGTATAGCCTTAACGACGCAGTGGCCTAATCGCTAGAACATCCGTCTACTACACCGGGATTCCGGGTTCGAGTCCCAGCTGGGGAACTTATTTTCCCCCTTTTTTCCTTTTTTCCCATACATATCTCTTTCTGCTTCTCCCAACTCTCTCTCTTTTTCTCTTTCTATGCCGCTCTCTGTGTCTGCCTGTCTCTCGCTGCCCTCTCTCTCTGACTCTGTCTGTTTCTCTTTGTGTGCCCCAATCTCTGCCTGTCTCTGTATCACATGCACTCTCACGAGTAAATTTAATATACAGTTTGAACCTGCGCTGCAGTATACGCACCTGGAGCCATAGCGCCAGTATGCCCTTAGCCGTTTTGAAAAGTTTCTTCGGTAGCGATGCGAGGTTGTTCTTCGCCAGATTCAGTTCATAGAGAGCGTCAGTGGTGGCAAGTGCATCGGCTGATATTGTATTAATGTTGTTTTCTTGTAGATTAAGAATGCGCAGGGAGTTCAAATCCTATAACGAATGTATGAAATATTGCCCGCATTAAACGGAAAGAATACTGCTACATAAATTCCCGCGCATTTCCGCTATGATTACAACACGGCGTGAAAATCTGCGCCAATGCCGAGTTAAGTCTTTAAGTCGTTAATTCATTAAGTCGTTAAGTTGTTAAGTCGTTCTCGCGGTATTTATTGCTCGTGGCGTAGATGTTCGCGTAAGGAGTCGTGACTCACCTGAAAGAGTTCATCATTGATTGAAGTGAGCTTGTTTTTGTTCAGGTAGATGGTGCGTAGCCGTGTTTTGTTAGTAAATGCCCCGTCCTCCATCACAGTGATCTCGTTGCCATGGAGATTTAGTAAACCTAAGTTGTCTGCCTTGTTGAACATTCCCTGCAAGGAAATAAAAAGTTTTAGGGTTCTGATAATCTGACGTGTTTTTTATATAATCAAGAATGGGTATTATATAGCACGCTTGGATTGTTTTGTGTAAAATACCACAGGGTAGGCCTATATATCATACCATATATAGTATTAAATTCCGTACGTAACAATCACTAGTAAAAAAAAACAATTTCTTAACCTTAGTATATAGCAAATATATCTTCAGGATACTTAACGAATTAAAATATTTTTAAGCAGTATGCTTAATGCATGGTTTTCTATCCTGTATCTGCAAGTGTATTTAATTATTGTCCGAATGAGCATGGATCTATTTGCGTGACTGATGGCGCTCGCAACAACATTATTGTTAAGCATGCTAAAAAGTTCACATCTTAAATGAATACATTGGTAATTCTCGTAAGTTTATTGTTGCCAAGGTTTATTTCCCAAAGTAGTTTCAGAGGCTCGAACACATCATCTTCAATGGTCGCGATCTTGTTATCCTGAAAAATACAATAACGAAAGCTCTATTTTCAAAAGTATCCAAAACCGAATCGCATTGTATTTTGGTCCGGAGTTTCGGAAGGCTGAAAACGGGTTCATAACTTTTCGCTTGGTTAGAGTTATCGTTATAATCGTTTTTTACCATCATAATCATCAGCAAAACGATCGTCATCTTCATTAGTATTATGATCATGACCACCACCATCCTCATCCTCATCATCATCATCATCATCATCATCATCATCATCATCATCATCATCATCATCATCACCATCATCATCATCAACAACAACAACAACAACATGATTACCCCTACGAGCACTACGACTACTGGATTTTTCCGCGGTAGAAAATGAATAAATTTACCTACCTGCAAGCGCATGTGAACAGTATTGATTAATCGAGGGATCACAGGTCCAGCGGCAAATATACCAGAATTTAGCGACGTGATCTCGTTTCCGCTCATGTCCAGCGCATATTGTATGATGACATTTTTAAACAGTTGGCTCGGAATAGTGGTGATCTTATTTCCGTGTAGGTCAAGATTAGTTAAAAATCGCGGAAAAATCTTTGACGATAGCGGCGTAAAGTTGATCTGGTTGTTCGTTAGGTGGAGCCACAAAAACAGGCGTAGGCCTGTCCACATGCCATCCTTTACCTTGAAAGTAGCAATATATCATTATAATCGCCGAGACAGCGAATACAATTTTCGCCACAATGTAGAGCCACAATAGTATACGTTATGTATTATAGAGATGTACCATATATCAGTGGAGTGTTACTAGACCTGGGACCCGTTGTCGCAAACAGAGCTCGTCTAATTATTCTTAAACATGATTTATTATCCTTAATCATAGACCGCTGGAAGTACGTACGTACGTATGCACGTACATACATACATACATACATACATACATACATACNGTGTGTGTGTGTGTGTGTGTGTGTGTGTGTGTGTGTGTGTGTGAGAGAGAGAGTAAAGTGTGTGTGTGTGTGTGTGTGTGTGTGTGTGTGTGTGTGTGTGTGTGTGTGTGCGTGCGTGCGTGCATGCGTGTGTGTGTGTGTATATATGTATGTATATGTATATAATACAAATGAACGAAAGACTGATGTATGCATTTCATGTGGTAGGCGCACTGATACAGCTAGACGACAACTAAGTAAACACACGCGGTGGCAGAGTGAGCAATGTCCACAGCAACGGCGAGAGGAAATTTAATGCACTTTAACCTACAACTATCGACACCAACGCGCATCGGTTCGTTAGTCGCGGTGTCGTGTATAACACTTTCACCTGAAGACGATTTTATTCTGCCTACGTCCTACACTGTTTTACGCACCTGCCGGTTCCGTTAACCCGCTTTTGACGCGTCGACAGGCAGAGAATCGATCGTCTTCTTCCCGCAGTGATGCAGCGTCGCTTAACGTTGACCCGAGCGCGCCCCGAGTGGGATATAACCTTCAGGTTTAACGTCGGCGTCTCTTCACGCGCTCAGACACTAGATATGCAACGCTTGTCAGAACGCGGCCGTGCGACGGTTTAAATCAGAGCTTATCGAACGCACCTATTACTATCGCCCGCAGTCTTGATTGATTCGTGACATCGACATCGTATGAGGCGGTATATAGGCGCGGTGTCATAGGTCGGTGATATGTTTACGTAGCACGAAAGAGAGCTTTGATAGCGATTGAGAGGACACAAGTTACTTGTGGCAACACCGCTGTGACCCAGCGCTGTGTAAAAGTGCATCATGTCCTTGGTCAAAATTAAATGGTTTGTTTTTATCCTCCGCACGTAGTGCAGCGGAGGATATTGTTTTCGCGGTGTGTGTTTGTGTTTGTTTGTGTTTTCGTTTGTTTGTGTGTTTGTGCGTGCGTGCGTGCGTGCGTGCGTGCGTGCGTGTGTGTTTGTGTTTTTTTGTTTGTGTGTGCGTGCGTGTGTGCGTGTTTGTGTGTGTGAGTGTGTGAGTGTGTGTGTGTGTTGTGTGTGTGTGTGTGTGTGTGTGTGT